ACTAAGATATTTAAATGTCAGTGTTCTCCTATTTGTAAAGAATGGGGAGACTTGGTTATTCATTTGTTCAAATCCTGTATAAATTTGTCACCTCTACAACAAGAATGTTTGGTGAAAATTTTGATAGTAACACAATCTTTGGTTGTAATTATTCTATTAACATACTAAGAAAAATTTTTCTTCTTTGAATGTGCAATTAGAACACTGTAATGTATTTATTTACTTAACTCCCTAATGTGAAAATTTGGCTAAGTCAAATATTTCTTTTACAATATTGATAATTTTTTTTATTATTAACCAGTTAAAATAAAAAATATATGCAATTTTTCTGAACGGTCAATGAACTGTTGATTAATTGTGAAAAACATAATTTTTTCTTCACTAAAGACTTACAACTAAATACCCAAACTGCCAAAAAACTTATAACCAGAACCTTTTATTTACGATGAATCTTAAATGGTTCTGGTGCAGTTAAAAGTTTTCAATTTGGAATATCCAAACTGAACAATTGAACAAACATCTATTAACTATACATATTTTAATTTATTGTTAATAGATGTTTGTTCAATTATTTCTGTAGCTATCTAATCAGCTTATCAGTTATTCTACTAACAAAACATATGAAAATTTTGTATGTTACATATGTACTCACTGCTAAGAACAGGCCTCTTTAATATAGTAGATGACCATGTTATAGAACTAGTACTATTTTAAAGAGTGCTATATCAAAATTTAACAGTACAGTGAAAAAAATTTCAACTAGTACTCATACAAAATTCTAATTTTGTCATTTAGAGGTATATGTTTTCTTTTTCAACTTCTAGGCTTAGGTTTAAACTTGCATAAAACCACCTGATAACGCATGTCTCAATAATGTGATTTCCTATAACATGGAATGTATCCTCCACGTCATACAAGACTCCACCGTATTTTAATATTCTTCTATAAATTGTTAAAATAATACATAATAGAAATAAACAAAATATTCTAATAATAAGTTTAACTTATCTGAATAATTATTACTAAAAATATTTTTAACTTAAATATATGAAAATTTGTTTATCATTCATTTTTTTCTGAAATAAAATCACTAATATATTTCTTATTTTAAAGCAAATACAACCCCAAACAAAAGTATGCAATATTATGTAATTATTTCCAAACATTTTTTACAGGTGTTAATGAGATGTGTTAGTGTATCAGACATGATAGTAAAGAGGAGACTTATATATATACTTATACAGTAGAACCTCGAAAACTCGGCCTAATGTGGACCGAAGGGTGGCCGAGTTTGTGAAAATGCCGGGTTATCGGGAATGGGGTTAAAAAAAAATAAGTACGAGTGTTTCCTCAGAAAATACTGTACTGTACTTGTATGTATTGTTTACTTGAGAATATAACAGAGAATAAACTGCCCAAATACCCTTAAACAAAGGAAAAGTACGTCCTTTATGAAGGCATAGAGCCTTTACTACATGAAAATGAAAATTAATGAATACACTGTGTACAGTAATTTACCTGATAAGACAGACCTCAGAAAAATACTTTATGAGAGCTTTTATACTTTTATAAAGCTGTCTATAATGAAAATTAATTAACTAAGGATTTTTTTGCCCTGCCAGGGTGTGGCCGAGTTATCCGGAGTGCCGGGTTATCGAGAGCCGAGTTTTCGAGGTTCTACTGTACTTTATTTATCCTGATACCACCAGAGCATAATTGGGTTAAGAACAGTACTACACAAATGAACAGACATACATACATAAATAATTTCAGACAGATAAGAAATATGACACTAGTGAAAATGGTGTGAACAGATGAAGGAGGTGACAGATACAAAAACCAACTAACATGATAACTAGCTTAAGAGTAGAATTAAGTATTACAGGCTGTCCAACAATTTTCAGTTTCCCCGAGATTTCCAGGTTTTCCAGGATAAAAACCAGCATTTTTTCCCTGACTGATTGTAAACAACTCACTGCAGAAATTAAAAACAGTTTTCAATTTATTTGATGTTACTAAATAAACTAACAGTTGTAAGGCTGTTCAATTCCTTTTATTGAGCTGCAATTTGGAAAACTGTAGACCTGTAAATTTCCACTGTCATCTGTTCTTGAGATTAAAGAAGAATGGACAGACAGACAGTTAGATAGATCAAAGACGAGACCAGATATAGAAAGCTTAAATGATCATGCTTGTTGTGTGACATGATGACACGCACATTCAAATCGCTTCTGTCATTACCTTTTCCATTATACACTTTACAACAATAATATTTTTTTTTGTTTTCCAGGTTTAATACCAAATTCCCTGAGATTTCCATGATTTTTTCCTAATATAATGAATACCGAATAACTTGACATTTCCTGGTTTCCAGGTTCATTGGACATCCTGTTAATTACAACATGTATGAAAAAAGTTAAAAAATAATACAACTTAAACTATAGATAAAGAGAGAGAATGATATGTGCACAGAGATATGATGCAGCAAATGATACAGACAAACAAGGGCAGTGAGCAAATGATGATATTGCAATTATGACAGACATGATTTGCTTAATGTATGGCTGAACGCATGTGTTATTTACAAATGAAGTTTTTGAACACCTTGTAGGTGTCACAATCATTAAGATGATGATGATCACATGGCCAGTTGATATCCCTCTGGCCAAGAGTAAGCTCATGCCTAATATCCTCAGTCATTGAACACTTGTATACTTAGTGCTCAACTCTGTCATGGCAAGTACAAATGATACAGATGTCCATTGATGATTTGCCAACTCTGCAGGTAATCATCAAAACTCCCATACTCAGTGAAAAAGCTAGCAGAAAGAGGTTAGCACTAAAACTAAAGATTAACAAAGCCCTATACGACAAAAAACAAAAAGAAAGATGGTTTGAAATGGGCCAAAATAAAGATGTACACACCATTCAGAATGACCTGCCAACAGTCCAGATACATCTCCAATTCAAAATGTTTAAAATATTCTGAGAAAAATGATATCTAAAAATGGAGCTACAACTATAGAATAATTAAAGAAGACAGTCAAAGAATCATGGTCAGAGCTTGATTCAGAACTATGTAAAAAACTTGTTTCTACAATACCACAAAGAATTACAGCTGTAATAAGAGCAAACAGTGGCCCTACAAAATATTAATCATTGGTATTCCATACTTTTGTTTAATGTTTTTCATGGTTTCATACTTTCATCTCTTACTTTGTTTAAAATGCTGTAACTTTGTAATTTATACATATATCTTTACATTTGGTATGTATATACTTTAATATGTCATTACATTTGCAATTGTTAAAAGTTCAATAATATTTTTGTGAATTTGATTATTTTGAGATCAAAATAATTTACATTTACAAAATATTCCATACTTTTGTTCAGGGGTTGTATAGTATATACTTATGTATTTAGGATTAATGTGGGTAAGTATGAGACACTTTTGAAAAGTTTTGTAACAGCATTTGTTAGGATCAGTATTTTATGAAGAGAAATACATGACAAGGTCTACAGATGTTAAAATTTAATTGAGTATTCATTTTTTCTATATAAGAAATGTTGAGCAAAAAATTTTTTTCCTGTCTCATATTTTACTTTCAAAAGCTAAAATATGACACACTGGGAAGTGAAAAATGAGAGACCCATTATATCACCATAAGGACTTGCCTATGCCAACAGGGAGGTTAATAATTAGGTACTATAGGTTAAATTCAAGTCATTTTTGTATAAAACATTGCTCCATGATATTTAGTTCCCAAGATATATAATTTTTAAAAATGATTTTTGTACAGCTTATTTTCTTGACATTTTCACATGAAATTTTTAAATTGAAGTAAGTAGATAAGATTAAATATTTAAAATTGAAAATTACTCTGTAGTTATGTACAATATAAAAATGTAAAATAAAACAAAATTTTAAAGACACAGGCCTAGGCCTAAGTGATTTTATTAACCTTTTTGAACAAAGTATATTACGATACCAACTATTTTATATTACTAATAGTAAATACATATGTAAAAAATTAAATATTTAAAGAATAAAAAGATAACTAAACTGGGCTAATAATTCAGTAGGCTATAGGAAAGAAGAAAAGGAAACATACAGTATAATGCAAATTAGGAAATACACTTTTTTCACAAATATTTCAGATGCATTGTATCCTCCTTCAGCAGAAGACAAACTACTTCCCTTTCTCCTCATCTAAAATGAATTATTAATTGTAAACACACAAAGCTTTATTCAATGGCCTGTTAAAAATAATGGCCTATTATAAGAGATATTAGCATAGACAAAGTAATAAGCCTACCACTAAAGAAAATTTACATAAATAGCCTAGTCTAAATAAAATAGGCCTACACTAAAATAAAACATTTTAGGAACAATTGATTATTTATTTAATTAGCATGGAATAAAAATAATGAAGAAAATAACACTATAGCCCTGTTGTTTTCTATGTATTAACATTAAGGTTAAATTAGATGTAGACCTATTACCTTTCAAAAATATTAACAGGCTTAACTTAAATAAAAAAAAGTTTCATGGAAATTAATGACTGGCAAATAAAATCTGGTGTCTCATTTTTTATTTATGGTATGTCTCATTTTCTATCTCATTTTGAAATGCACAAAACTCAGACAAAAACTGATATATACAATAAAAACAACTACATTTAATATACTGCATACAAATTTCTAATTGAATATCCATGTCTTTTGCAGACATATACAGAGCAAAATTTAGTTGAACTGACAGAAAGGTTTTTGCACCTATTTTTGTAGTGTTTCTTAAAAATTAGAGAGACTCAATGAAACCATAGTCATTTTCATTCAGAAAAGTTATATGTTAAAAAGCACTAAATAAATTTAATATTGCATTTGTACAGGACAGATCGAACATAGATTAAGTCAAATTTCACAACTGTATCATATTTTCCAATTTTTCAGACTGTCTCATATTTACCCACATTGACTCTATACTTTATTCAACATACCTATAAAAGTTCCAACAAAAAAATGAAATAATGGTACGTCTATGACAGGTGAAGTAATGTTGATAAACCAATTAGGAAGAAATGGTGTTATACGAAGAAAGATAATATAATTTAGAAGATGAGATCGATGTTTATTTACCTGAAATTAAAAATTAAATTAAAAAATATATATTTCTTTAAAACATTTTAATTTTTTCATTACAAAATTCTCGATAGAAATAAAGAGTTTATATATATATATATATATATAAACTTTTTGACTCACAATATACTATATTTAGTACACAACTTTGAGTCACTATATAATAAATTGGTTTGGACAGAACATCTATTTTGTCACCATGTATTATTTATATTAGTACACTTCCCTTATTGGCCCAACCATGTTGACATCTTGTATTGACAGTGCTGTTCAATGATGTTCCTAAAAGATGGCAGAATTTGCCAAAACTTAGGAAATCAAATAATTTTTCTATTTTTGTTGTTAAGAACTTATATCAGCAACTTTAACTGATATGATTTGGTTGTACAGAAATTATATTTATTTAGGCAGTTGTTAATACAATAATAGTAGCTAATGTTCACTTAACATATTTTTCCAAATATTGGTATACATTTTTTAGTACTTCTTGATTCAACATTTTTATCCATTAGGCTTAGGACTTTCTTACAATTTGTTTTGTAAGAAAGTGGATATCATTTTCATTATAGAAACATTTATTCCCTTCTTTTAACAGATAGTTCCAGAGAAAGTGTAATTAGGAATGATAGTTCATTAGATGAGGATGCTTTACCTACTAGTACAACAAACAGTACAAAAAACAGCCAAGACTGATTATGAGTGGAAAAGGAAAACTTTTAGACAATAGGAAAGACAAGGGAAGGAAACCAGAATTATTACAGGTTTTCAAGAACTACCTACTCCCTTTTCACTGCTCTGGGGCTATCCATAAATTACATCTGCATTTTTCTTGACATTTTTATTCCCCTCCCCCACTGTCCCAGTTTCTGTAATCCCCTCCCCTCTTCAGACATCCAATAAAACTCAATCCCCCACTCAAAACCTTTATCACTACATGAATAATAAAATGCATAAACTGTATAAAATTTAATGAAATAAAACGAACATCCATTGAAGTTCAACACCCCTTGTCTGACATCACAATCTCCACCCTCGCTTCCACTGTGGATGTCATTTATGAACAGCCTCTTTGTTCTTGCTACAATATTTTTTGGACTGACTGCAAACAAAACAAACAAGTATGCAATGCAGACAAATGGTTTGGAATTGAACACTTCTGAACATGAAATAAGGAAACTCATTGCCTCCATATTATAATGGGAACCCTACAGTTTCCAAAATACCAAAATGTATTGGCAAAAGAGCACCATAATATCCAGAATTATGGCTAGCATTCCTTTCAATAGATTATCCAAGTTATGAACCAATTTTCATCTTGTTAACAATGTTACAGAATATAACTCTGAAAATAACAGATTTTGGATATTTAAGCCAATCATGGATTGCTTTTTTCAGGTGCAGATCATTTGATTTAGAAGTGTCTTTGTATTGACAAACAAATTATACCATATTTCCAGGCTATTATGAGATCTTATTAATTACAATTTAACTTAATAAAAGTTTGGGGGCACCATCTGTACGAGATTTTGTCATAAAAAACTTTATATATTTTTTAATTGCTATAAAATGCAAATTGCTTAATTTTGAGGATAGTGATGAGTTTTATATATATGTTACAGTCAAAACGCGTTTTAAGTTAGAACGTGTTTTAACTAGTTGAAACTAGTTTATACTAAATGTCTTTGTTAAAACCCGTTTTGTCTAGCTGAAACTAGTTTATACTGAATGTCTTTGTTAAAACCCGTTTTGTCTAGCTGAAACTAGTTTATACTAAATGTCTTTGTTAAAACCCGTTTTGTCTAGTTGAAACTAGTTTATACTAAATGTCTTTGTTAAAACCCGTTTTGTCTAGCTGAAACTAGTTTATACTGAATGTCTTTGTTAAAACCCGTTTTGTCTAGC